TCTATTTTTTTGCCTCCATTTACTCTCTGTTAGGTATTGTGTCTTTGATAGGCAAATTTTCAAATAAAATAATTGATGTGATAGTCAAATGAGGAAGCTGAAGGACTACTGTATGCACCAGGCATAGCAGAATAATTTAGGTATAATTTTTTTTATAAAAAATCTGTTCTCAAAACTTTAAACGCGTTTTTCTCGAAACTACGTTTTTGAAATTTTGGAGAAGCACTCACTAAAATCTATAGTACCGATTGGGCTAAAATTTTTACCAGTTATTCTTGAAAGATATTCTGATACATGATACCTCAAAAAACTTTAATTTTTTAATAATAAATATATTTTTTTAAACAATTAAAGGTAAAAAAATGTACCGATTTTGAAAAAATTTTTCACACGTCCGTCATTTTATTTTTTTGAAAAAAAATATACATATTGTTGGTATCACGTCTATAATTAAGCCTAAAGAATAATAAGTATTTTTAGTTTTTTTGTTTCGGACGGCTACAAAGGCTCTGTGCTTCTCCAAATTGAATTGGGGGACTCCAATTTGACGTTAAAAAAAAAGGACAAATCTTGCTCAAATTAGGTTAAAAAAAATTTTTTTTGTATAGTTTAAGATACTGATAAAAACATATTAAAATTTCAAAACGATCGCATTTTGTTTTCCTATTCAACAAAATTCATGAAAAAGCATTGAAATTTCGGTCTTCACAGGGAGGTACTACCTTAAATAAACGTAAATAAATGTAAAAATAAACAATTGAGTTTTATTTAATACTAGAAAACTGAAATTACTTTCTTGCCAACCCAATTGATAAAAACTAATTTGATTTTTAATTAATCTAATTGCGTTTTAATAATTTATCAAAACTGTCAATCAATATAACATTGAAAGTATAATTTTTAATAATTATTTAAAATGAAAATTAAGTTATTCGAATTTTGGATAATTGATTTGTGATTGATGAAAAAAAAAAAATTAATTAAAATAACAAAACAATTATTTTATTTTTTTTTATTTTAATTTTCAATTAGCTTAATTAAACTCGTATTCGTATTTATCTGTATTATTTTTTTTTTTATTGTCTTACGATAAACAAAAGATAATTAGCTGAAATAAAAAGAAAAAATTACTAAACATACACTACTGGCGTGTATAATTGAAAAAATATATACAGTGTGTGGAAAAATTAATCGTACATCGATCAATTTGAAATAAAATGTTGTGAAATTGTAGTTTATTTGTCTTTTGAATTTGAATATTTGTGTTCATGAAAAAGAAAAAAAAAACAATAAACAAAATGGCTTCATGTGTATTAACACTAGATATACCCGGACTAGTCATTTTGATTGGTTGGGCGGCCATTTTAATTCAAAATTTCTACTTCATGTAACATTTGATTTCTGTAAATAATTAAGCGTTTTGTTATTTAAAAATGTCTATAAATTTATTTATCTATTAATATTATTATTATTATTAAACATTTTTTGTTATTTTCTTAAGAGTAAATAAAGACTGGAAGACTCAAAATACATTTTTTTTATACACCAATTATTTTGACTAATGTAGTAGAAAAATAGGTATACTGAAAATGGTGGTATATCTAGTGCTAATTATTTGTTATAGTGTAAAAGTGTCAAATCTAAAAGCTTTCATTACAATGTTACATACCTGGTGTAAGACCCTATAAGACTCTCAGTAGATCTCGAATGTGTGACATCTTGGGACATTCGCCTGGACCTGATGTTTAAACAAACAATCCAAAAACAAGGACAATAAGAATACATGCAGTTCTACATGCAAGTGGAGCTTAAAAAATAATAACATTAAAAATGATTGAACGCTACGAAATTATTCGACAATGTAGTTTACAATGTAAAAAAAACAAAAACATTAAAAAAAAAATCATAATCAAAAAAATACAAATAATGAGAAGTAATTTTTGAACAATCAGAAACAAAAATACAAAAAAAAAAAAGAAAAACAAAACAAAAAAAAATATCTTGTTCGGAGTATCGGTCCCAATATTTTTTATTTCCATATTTTTTTTTTTTTTTTTAATTTATCTTCGTAATACAACTATATAAATTTGTTAATAAAAATTAATATTTATTAATTAATAATTATTAATTATTAATTATTATAATCATTGTTTGAATTAAAAAATTGTGAATTTGAAATTTCAAAAAATAAAAAGTTTTTTTTTTTTTTATTATTTATTAAAGGCACGAAACTTTACGATCAATCATTGCATAATATTTTCTTTTAATTTTTTTTTTTTAATTATAAATAATAATAATGATAAGAATGATGTAAAAAAACTAATGGTAAAGAAAAAATGACAAAAATTTAGGGGCTTATTTCGTTGATTCAAAGCTTTCGAAGGCATTAAAAACAAAAATAGAAAAAGTGTATACATTAAAAAAAAAAAAAACCCAAAAAGATCAAAAAAATGCATTGGCATCAAAAAGCGTGCGGCGTGTGTTAGTTCTTTTTTTCTTTTGTTAAATTTAAATTGTAAAAATTACAAAATCCTTTTCAACTCGTACCAAATTAAATTTAAAATTCGCATGAATATCTTTGTATTAAAAATTTGTACTTAAACTTGAATCAGAAGTTTAAAAAGGTAACATTTCTTTTTAAAATTAAGGTTTTTATTTCACCTGTACACACACACACACACATACATAAATACATTCACACATTTCTCAACACTTGTACTTTCCTCAACTCAATTTTCAATAATTTTATCAACATTTTATTTCAATAATAAAAAAAAAGAAACATATTATAGATGTGGGTTGTAAAAGCTTCGAACCTAACCTAAAAAACAATATGTTTTTCGTCAGTTAAACTGTTATTTTTGGTACATAAAAAAAAAGAAATATAAATTTTATCATTTGTTATGTTCAAAAGTTTACAATCCTCCCACATTACGACAACCAAAATTCGAATGAGTGTATCATCGATTGTATATGTTACAGCAGTAAACAGTAAATATGGAAGTCTAAAAATACAAAATAAAAATTAAAAAAAAAAAAAAAAAAAAAAAGAAGGATAAACCAAGGAGAAGAATTTTGTTGTTTGATAAAATCATTCTTTCTATGTATGACGCAGATGGAAATATTTTTGGCAAATATTTTATAATCAAAATTCAAAACCAGACACAATTGCGCAAGAGAATACAGTTAAATATTATACTTTCCGTTTTGAAATATTATAATACACACCATAACGTTCGAAAAGTATTCTGATACAGAAAAAAAAAGTACCATAAATATAAATCACAATAAAAAACAAACAAAAAATTAATTCAATCATTTACCCATTGGAGAACAATAAAAAAAAAACAACAAAAGATATCGGGTATTTATTAAATATGTTCAATAAAAAAATGTTTTCCATTATTTATGAAAATAATACGTTATCGCGGTCGGTAATAGAAAAAGAAAAAAAAACGAAAGCCAACAAAAATAAAAGACATTACAGATTCCTTCCTTACCGACTGCGAACTATTAGTAAACAAATAAAAAATGGAATAGCATTGTAACACCAATATAAATAAATTGTACGATATATTTTTTTTTTTTTTTACTCGAAGAAGGACAAATAAGAATTGAAAAATTGAAATAGACATGTGTTAGTTGTGTAGATTAAAAATAGGTAAAACGATTGGCGATTTGCCCATTTGTTGTTCTGAGTAAGCTGATGCCTAGTGCAGCACGAGACTTTCGAAATCGCATGTAAAATCAGATAGATATGCATTTATGCGTGCATGTTAGCATGCATGCATGCATGCATGCGTGCATATTCGTATGTGTATGTATATATGTATATGCGTATGCATTTGTATTTTCACATATATGTGTGTTTATGAAAGAGGAAACGACTACCGTGAAGATGTTTCTCTCGATTTAACGCAACTAAAGGAGTTCTTTATGCATTCAAGCAAAACAGCTGTTTCAATTTATATATATAAATAATTTATCTTGTTTTCTTTTTCTTTTTTCTGTCTTTTTTTTATTATTTATCTAATCAAATTGATCAATCTATCTGACGTATTTAACCACTTCCCCTTTTTTTCGTTACGATTTATTGATGTCAAAGTTATCAGTTATATATATAAAATCAAAATATATAATTAATAAAAATAAAATAGATATATATATAGTTAATAAAAATATATGTAAAATATATAAACATATATATATATATATATATATAAAATACGAATATTTTTTTTTATTTTTATATTACATTTACAAGAGTAGATTTAAAAATTAGTCAACCGGATTCCATTGCTATCAATTTTTTTTTTTTTACTAATAACAATTTCAAATTTGTGTATTAATTAATTTTCTTATTTAATTTTATATATATAATATTTATTTATTAATATTATAATAATAATATTATAATATTTATGTAATTATTATATTAATTTAATATTATATTATATTTTTTTTAATTATTAATATATATTAAAACTAGTTTACTGAAATTATTAATATATATATTAAAATATTATATATAATTTATTATATTAATATATACATATATATATATGTATATATATATATATTGATTTTATTTATCAATATTATAATTTAATAATATATATATATTTAAATTTTTCTTTTGATGATAAAAGTAACCTGTTTTATATTTCTACATTTTTTAACACATATAATTTAATATTTTATTTAAGTCTTTACCAATTATAGTTGATCAATAAAATATTATTACAAAAATAGTTTTTAACAATTCATTAAATATATGTATATATTGTCTACTAGTATAATTATTAACTTTCTTTTTTTTTTTGTTTAGGGTAGGGAGTTTCATTTAGAGAGTAGTAGTCAGTAGGTTTCTTCATAACTCGTGCGAATAAAAAGGAACTCGAGTGCAATTTTATTGCATCGTCGAACTTTCGTCGAGTTTCAATTTCGCTCCAATCGAAATCGAGATAGAAATCGAAATTGAAATCGAAATCGATTCGAATGAACGCGTCTCGTTAAAATCTTATTTTTTCCCATCATCACTTTCATTTTTTATAATATTTTAATCCATTTCAATCTCGTTTACTTGTAAACGCCTTATTTATATATTTTTATTTTATTTATCTTTTAATTGCATATATACACATATAAATATGATAAAAATTAATAAAAATAAAAAAAAGAAATAAAATAAATTCTACGAATAAGAAAATGAAAAATAATTCAATCTCCTCGATGATATTAAATTTCGAGAGATTGAAAAAAAAAAAATAAAAGAAAGAATAAAAGAAAAAAAGAAAAATAAATAAATAAAAATTGTCGACGGAATTTAATTAATCGATGATTAAATCGAACGTTATTTCAAATCGCTAACGCGAATTCGAGATTTTCAAGGGTGGGTGGAGGGTGGTAAGGCGGCATGTTATATTAATCGATTGGCATTACTACGATATTACTCGAAATTCAACGGTACGTACTTACGTACGATAGATCGAATTACGAAAGGAAATGAAGTATCTACCAGATAAAAAATTGCTATTGCTTATTAATTAATTTCTAAATCAGATAAAAAGAGAGAGGAAAAGAAATAGAGAGAGAGAGAGAGAGAGAGAGAAAAGTACAAATCGTAAAAGGAAATCCAACGAAGTTGCAAATTCGCTTTCTGCGATATGATCGATCGATGCCCCGTTAAATTAACTCTCATAATGTCTCGCTATAATTAAAACTGTACGAAGAAAAGATGAAATAAAAAAAAAAAAAAATAGAACTAAATAGAAGAAGAAGAAAAAATCAGAAGAAAAAATATACCGAAAGAAAAAGAAAATTTAAACAAATAATTAGTAATGATAAAAAAGTACAATTAATAACAGGAGAAAATAACGATGTATCTATAGATGATAAATGACGATTATTATTATTATTATGATGATGATGATGATGATGATGATTATTATTATGATGATTATGATGATAATGATTATGACTTATCCGTAATAAATTTATATTATCGAAATAATTTTTTATTAAAAAAATATAATTTTGATGATTTAATAATCATCTATGAACGGTAAAGAGAAATTTTTGCATTGAAGTCGAGTAACAATTTATAAATTATTATTTTATATAATATTATTATTATTTATATTATTTTATATATATATGTAAGGGATTTTATTTAGGGTGAGAGGTGCGAAGTAAACATACACCCAGTTTAATCCCTTAAGCAGCAATGATTTTGAAAAAAAAAAACGGCCAAAAAAATCTTTTTTTTTTTTTTGCATAAAAACATAATTTAGAAGATTGTTTTGACAAAAAAAAATTTTTTTAAAATACAGAAATAATCAATATTTGTATGTTAATTTTGGATTTTGTTTCATATTACCGAGAAGAGCCGAATATTGCAATGTTACACGTACGTCAATTTTTTAATTTATCTTTTTTGAATTACTATTTCGGCAAAACAAAAATTCTTTTTCTTTGCTTTCACATTCTTATTTTAAATTTTCTATTATATTTAAATGTAAAAAATCATACAAATATAAAATAATACGCCGCTCGAGTTAACTCGAGCGCGTGGAAATCGTTCGGTTTAGTGCGCTCGAGTTAACTCGAGCTGCTTAAGGGGTTAATCCTACTAATAAGATATATTTAAAACAGGTATTAGAAAAAGATAGAAGACAATAATAGTTTTAGAGTTTAGAGTTTTACAATCTTACGATTACAACTTAAATAAGCGAGTGT